CGCAAAGCGGCGGTGACGAATAATTTCTAGGCGGTGATTAATTTATTTAGGCGACGATTGTTTCCTAGCGGCGATTTGTCAAATTCGGTGAATAGTTTCCTCACGGTGATTAGTACTATAGTGTTGAACACGCCCTTTGTAGACTTTAAAGAAGATCCTCATCAACAGCAGATCTATTAATAATACCAAATTTCTAGAGTTGTCTATTATCGATCATTTCCATTCTTATTGTTTTTACTTGAATTTTATACTTTAAGGAAAATAATAGGACTCATAATCGGATATCATTTATCTTAAAACAAATAAAGAAAAGCCATAAAAGTATGTTATCATTCATCATTAAATTAAGACCAAAGATGTAAACTGCATCTTTAATTTGCAATAAACAACACATATGTAGCTCCTCACTGTCCATCAAACTTTTTAGAAGATCATATATGAGAACTTTTTCCATTTTACTTGAGATCGTGGATTAGTGAAATCCATGCACCTTTTAATTTCAACAATCCTACACCAAATGAATATAATAATAAAACATAAGATTATTTGAAGTGGTAAAAAGATTTAACAGATTCTTAAGAGGAATTTAAAGGTTATACATAATGAACAATGGACAGAGAACTTATACAAATAAAATCGAGAAACTTGTTCCATACCAAGGCATGGTAAAATGAAATAAGAGCCAAAGTTCTCCAAAAATACATAACCATCGACTAAGTTCATTTAGTCAAAAGGAAATGACATATTTAATAAGTCTAAATTTAAAGAAGTATATATATTTACTGTAAGCCTCTTCTTCTCTGCTCGTTTTTCTAAAATTTCTAAAATCCCCTTGTAATCGTGTATATCTTCCATTCTTTTTTCGAACATGTAGGATGTTGTAATTAGTAGCTTTTCATAAGTACATTGCATAAATGACATAAATTCAAAGTAGAATGTTGTAATGGGTATATTTTCGAAGTAAATTTCTTTAAAATGAACTAAAATTAAAGTAAGATGATGTAATTTGTAGATTTTCAAAGTACAATACCTTAATTGTTAAATTAGCTGTCATGTATCATCACTTGGACCATACAAATTCATCACCTAAAGTTGGAAACAATTGAAAATGCATTAATCTGAGTTGAAAATGAAAACGAAAATGGAAACAATTGAAAATGCTACAAATGGATAAAGTCATTTGCCCTTTGACTGGTTTTTGATTTTAACTTACTATGACTTTCACACAATATTGTGTAAATATGTCATTTGATTACTTTCAAAAACTTATGCTTCTATACTATTCAACCCTAGTTTTGCAGCCTGATTATGTGCCTCAAGCAAATGCAAAATTATCCTAATCAAGAAAAATAAATGAACACACCATATTTTACATTAATGTTTATACCAAACAAACTAACAGTATACCCTATTTTGGTGTAAATATACAACATTTCCTTTTAATTCATATAATTAATTTTGACAACTTTGATATTAATTATTAAAAAATCAATTTATTTTGTACTCATATGTTTTGTTATTTAAGTGCTTTTCATCTCATTTGAAACATCCATATCATCCTGAGTTTCCTCTCTACTTGGGTTTATGGACTCTTCATTTCCGGTCAATCATCATGCCAGCTATAAAATTTTACTTCCACTCCCTACAATATAAAAAAAAATTAATTTTATAAACTGAATGATGTTTCAAATTCAAGAGTCAAATAATCAAAAAAACTAAACATACCGTTCAAATAATAATGAAACATTAAAACCATCTTGGATGCTCTTTTTGTACCATCTCTTAGTTTCAAAATGGAACTTTGATCCACTGTAAAACATATTATAGAAATCATATTTTCCACAAACAAATAAGATAAGCTTACTACCTTTACCATTCTTATTATAATCAAAACCCCAATTTCTATTTTCTGTAAAAGTAATGATTCATATTTTGTTATTATCTACTAAACAAATTGTGATACATACCTGATGCCAAACAACAACATATTATTTGTTAAGCAAATACATTAGCGATAATAAAAATGGCGACGCATAATCGATGCTAGAAACAGAAACAGAAACGTACCACAAAATACTGAGTTATTAGCAACTTGGCGAGGCAATTCATGCTATTGACCTGCATTCGCAAGAAGAAACGCACAGCAGGATTCAATAAAAAAATATACAGATGTTCTGCAAAAACTTATTAATGTCTTGCAAAGCATCCTCTACTTGTGAGGTTTTCTACAAATTACATATAAAACCCAATCAATTTTTTGATATGTCAATGGCTCCAAAAAGTACCTAGAATATATTATAACAAGAAACTCTAACCATGTCAATGGCTCGTGAAAAAGAGTTAGTTTTTGTAAGGTGAAAGATTTGGTTGAAAAACAAAAGATTGAGTTGAATCAAACATGCACGCTATGTCCTTATGGGAAGCTTACCTGCAGTGCGCTAGAGATTTCAATTTATCGACTTCTTCCCTATTATTCTCATACCTTCACAACTCGAGCACTTGCAACAAATGATAAACATATCATCTGAGATGCTAAAATGTCAACCTAAAATGATAAATATAAAACCATAGACATTAAAAATAGGAACACAAATCAGATCAATAACTAAGAGATGATTTGTATTCCAAACTATCTGTAGATCATAAGCCTACTCTGTTCAATCATCAGAGAGAACCACAGGTGCTCGGACTTGCCTATATCGACTTCCAACCTTAACATCCTTCATCAAAAAGTATCAGTCAATAATTCTTGATTTTCCTCAGCATTTAACAACACTCCATTAGTTATAAATATTAGAAAAAGATTTAAAAATGCCCAAAAAAATGAAGACCAAACCAAACAAAAATAGAGAGAGAGAGAGAGAGATGACCAGGGAACCAAGTTACAAGCTCTATGTGACCTCCACAAGACAATAAAAACCGAGTTAAGAGAAAAAAAAACCCAAATTGTGGATCTATTATTTATAACAAAATGAAAGAAAGATAGAGGTTGGTAATAGAAAAGATGTTTGTGGTGGTGAAGACGGTGGTCAATAGTGGTGCCTATGTTTTCGTAGAGGGTTGAGCAGTGGTGGTTCTATGGTGGTTTGGATAGAAAGTATCTTAGACGGTTCTATGTTGGTTTTGAAAGATAAAATATGACTGGAGACGGCAGCCGGTGGTGGTGTCTAGGGTTTATATGTAGTGCTGAGGGGTAGTGTTTCTATGGTGTTTTAGAGAGGGACGGTAGTAGGAGAGTGCAAGGATGGTTCAAGGTGGAGATGGTGCAAGGGCCTCGATTGGGTGCTGGTGTGTTTGTGATGAAACGGAGGAGGGCGGTGACGGCTACATATCACAGAGGATGTCTAGGGTTTTAACTTTTAGTGAGTAGATGAGAGAAAAAATGAGTTGGGAGAGATGAGGAGCGTATTTCAACTTTCCCCAAGTTGGAGAATAGAGACGGTACATGGATTGATAGTAAGCCTAATAGAGTTGTTCATTATGTATTAGTAGTTGTACCTCTTAAATTTCAAGAAATGGTAAATATGTTTTATAGAATAGTTAAGATTAAGATATATATATATATATATATATATATATATATATATATATATATATATATATATATAGGGAGCGTTCAATCGAGAATATTTTTCGCGCGAGAACATTTGAGAACAAAAGTTATATTGTAGGGGCTGTCCAGTTATATTGTTGGGGCTGTCCATCTCTATGAAAGTTGTATCCGGTACGGTGGCATAAATGTAAATAAGTTAATTGCTTCCAAAACACATCGCATTTAAAAAATAAAAGGGTATAATCGTAAAAAAAATATAAGTTGGTTCCAAACACACATCGTCGGAATCCTCAAAGCAATCAAGAACCCTTATTTCTCTCAACAGAAACCCTCGCTTCTCTCTAACATTTCAACCATTTTCAACGAAAACGATACATATGTCGTCAAAAACAGAAAAAACGTCGTCGAAGGTTTCATTGAAAGGTAAATATCACTTGATTCTCATTATTTTCGAGTTTTTTTTTATGAATATCACTCGATTTTCGAGTTTTCCTACTGTTAGTTTCATCAATATACAGAAAATCGGCATTATTCAAAAGTTTTTTTTTTTAAATCAAACCCTAGTTTCGATGTCGAACAATTTACCTAAGTTTACTGTTAAAATAAAACTCAATTTTACTAATATTAACGTTTAATTTCTCGATTTAGTGTTCTGTTATTCATGTATTCCTTTTTATACTCATTTATGATTTAAACAAAAAGAATTTTTTTTCAAAAAACATGCATGAAAGTGATAAATCATATGACTGTGTTCAATCATATCAATATTCATCTGTAATCACATCTGATTATATGATTATAACCACAAATAATTAAATGATTAAAATCCCTAATTAAATATATACAAAAATTCTTCATTGAAGAACATTTGTTCCTATATAATCACAAGTGATTATTGTACCTATATAACTAATCACATGTGATCATAATCAAAAAAAAATATTTTGTTTTACTATAACCATAGCTTTTAACACAATTGATTACAATACTTAAAAAGACAGTCAATAATGATCAAGGTTTGGATGACATGAATTTGCATGATGAAGGTGTTGAAAATGAAAAAGGTGATGATAATGAAGAAGAGCAAAATGCAGAAGGAGAAGGTAAACAACAATATAACTAATCATTAAATAAATATCTACAAAAACTCTTCATTGAACAACATTTGTTCCTATATAATCACAAGTGATTATTCTACTAACTTATTTTGTTTATCTGATTTTTGAAGATGTCAACTAAACAATAACAAACGTTATTGAAAGTATTTTTGAAAACACATTAGAGTTTAACAGTACCCAAATGTTAAATGATGATGAATTCAATTCTCTTTATGAAAAGACCATGAAAGAATATCAAGATAAAAAAAAAGAGAGTATGATGCCCTCATATGATCTCAACATAAGTCAGTAGACACCTCCAGAGATGATAGAGATAAATATTATTTTGTCTGTTCGTACAATATCATATCTTTATGAATGTAATCACATATGATTTCATTATTTCTAAAACGTACAATCACATGTGATTAAAACTAATTATCACTTTACTTAAACTTACAATCATATGTGATTAACAGTAATTATAAAAATTTTAAAATTATGATTCTAATATTTTTCTAACTGTTATAACCATATATAAATTGCAGAATATCGTTGATGAAGAAAAATATGAAGGTAAAAAAGAAGATGTGAAAGATGTGCTAGATTCAAAAACAAAGAACCACCACCCAGACATGACAGAGGTAAATATTATTTTGTCTATTTGTACAATATCATATCTTTATAAAGGTAATCACATATGATTTTATTATTTCTTAAAGGTACAATCACATGTGATTGAAACTAATTATCACTTTACTTAAACTTACAACCATATGTGATTAACAGTAATTATAAATATTTTAAAATTATGATTCTAATATTTTTCTAACGGTTATAATCATATATGAATTGCAGAATACTGCAAAAGATGAAGGTAAAAAAGATCTGGTGAAAGATATGCTAGATCCAAAAAGAAAGAGCCACCCAAAGATAAGTAACTTAGGAATATCGACAACAAATCAAAACAAAGAGTCTTTGCCTGAGCTTACAGAACAGCTGCCTGAGCTTACAGAAAACCAAAATCTAACTCAGGAACCTCGGCAACAACGAAAGAAGAAGCCAGCTGAAGTTAAGAGATCTTCGTATAAAGAGAGAGCCATTTGCTTGAAAACAAAATTAACAAAAGAAGAAGAAATTCTTGGTTATTCGGCTTTTCAATTTGCAAGGAAGTGTATAGTAAGTTAACATTAACATTTACAAAAATAAATATAAATATACTTGTTTAATAATTAGTAAATCACATGTGATTAAAGATATGAATATAATAATCATATTAACATATTTTATTAAATCACATGTGATTATATTCATGTATATAATAATATGAAATAACATTTTTTTTTAATATTTACAGTGATCAGCTGTTATTAACAATAAACAAAAGAGTGGTATTCCGATATGTATTTGAAAGTTTGTTTCCCGGAGAATATCTATTTTCGGATGTCATAGACTCATGGTCTGAACTACTCAACTACAACGAGAAGGATCGAGACATTAATAATTCTCCATACATAGTTTTCTTGTCTGTCCAAATGACTGTAAGTAAAACATATGTGATTCTAACACTAAATTAATATCATCTATATTATCTATTTAGATTCACATATGATTATACACTAAAATCACAAATGATTTAACATTTAGACAAACTATATTGAGGATGAGCAACTTCCTAAACCAAAAAAGGATGACAAAAAGAAAAGGATGACAAAAAGAAAAGGATTGACAAAAAAGTAAAAGAACAAATGGAAAAGGAGGTAGAGGAGAAAGAAAAGGAGAAAAAAGGAGAATAGATACAATCTATTCAAAAAATACTTTGTAGATTGGTTGAATGGAGATGAAGAAAAAATAAAATTGAAAGATGTTGATATGGTAAGTTTTTTTAAAAAATCTTATTATTCTTATTATAGTGTATATCCTTCCTAAATATGACAATACATATTTAAATGCAAATATTTTTCCCTACTTGCCGGCAGGAACACTTGTTTGTATTTGTTTTTAACATAAAAAATGCAAGCATTGTAATACTGGACAACAACATCTCAGCAGCAACAATCAAAGATAAGTACATGCTTGTACTCAAAAACCTGGTAAGTAATCACATGTGATTATGTAAAACATTATTTCATGATTGTAATCACATGTGATTATGTAAATTATTTTTATTCACATCTGATTATATAAATGTAAATAACATTTTTTATATGTTTAATTGTATATGACTAACTTTATATATATTTTTATAATATTCAGAAAAAATACTTCTTGAGATATCTCCATGAGATAAATCATCCACGATGTCATGCCCTTGAAGACCCAGATATCAAACCACAAATACCACATCTGCTATGTAAAACTAAAGATAACAAAACAAATTGTGGAGTATTTGTGATGAGATACATGGAAACGTATATGGGTGAAACAGATTACAAAACCGGATTCCCAAAAGAAGGAACTCAAGATGCGTTGTTGGATTGGGTGAGAACCAAATATGCTTATGCATTGATAAGTTCTTAAATTAATTTCATGAAGGATGATATCATGGAACTTGCTCATGAGTACAACAAACAAAATAAAGAGAAGAGAGAAAGTGATCAAAGAAAAGCTTGTGCAGAAATCCATAAAAGGTTGAATGACTGCCAATATGGTTGATTGATTGAAGGCAAAAGGGTGAATGGGAAAATGAAGATGCAAGTGCTGAAGGTGAAGATGGATAATTTCTTTGTTGATTTATCAAGACAATATTAGTTTTTAATTAGATATGTGGATATGCAGAGATAGTGGATGTGAATCTTTGAAAATATATATGATATGATAGATATGCGGGTCTTTTATTACTCTACAAAACAAATGTATATTTTTATGATATGTGGGTATAATCACATATGAGTTTTTAAAATCATATGTGATTAAATTCATAATAATTTATGCTAGAATTAACATATGAAACAAAATCATACATGATTTAAATCTGTTCACGTTAGAAAACAAATGAAACATGATTCGAAAAATTATGTGTGATTATGTTCATAATAATTTATGCTAGAAATAACATAAGATTTCAACAAATGTATATTTTTATGATATGTGGGTATAATCACATATGAGTTTTTAAAAACATATGTGATTAAGTTCATAATAATTTATGCTAGAATTAAAATATGAAACAGAATCACACATGATTTGAATCTATTCACGTTAGAAAACAAATGAAACATGATTTGAAAAATCATGTGTGATTATATTCATAATAATTTATGCTAGAAATAACATAAGATTTCAACAAATGTATATTTTTATGATATGTGGGTATAATCACATATGAGTTTTTAAAATCATATGTGATTAAATTCATAATAATTTATGCTAGAACTAACATATGAAACAGAATCACACATGATTTAAATCTGTTCACGTTAGAAAACAAATGAAACATGATTTGAAAAATCATGATTATATTCATAATAATTTATGCTAGCAATAACATAAGATTTCAACAATCACATGTGATTACAATATTCAAAAAAAAAATATATGATTTAAATCTGAACATATTAAAAAACAAATCACATATGACAAATCATATATAATAGAATAAAACATATGAATTTGCACATGTTATCTAAAGTGTATCAATTACATATGATTATCATTTGTAATATATGATTTCAAAAAGATAAATCAAATATGATTAAATATGTTCACATCATAAAAATATTATAGAAACAAATAACATGAGTAAAATTTTTAGAATCACATATAATTATAAAAAAACCAACAAAAAAATTGATTATCATGTGATTATCAAATAAAATATTGTAAATAATCACATGTGATTATCATTCACAAAAAGAAAAATCACATTCACATTCAATATGTTCACATTCAATATCAAATTAAATATGTTCACATTCACACTACAAAAATCACATGTGATTATGTATAAAAAAATATGATATTATAAAATCAAATGTAATTACGAAAATCACATGTGATTATGTATAAAAAAACATAGATATTAGAAAATCACATGCGATTAAAATCTTTTATTAAAAGTTTATACTTAACTGTAACATCCCAAAAATACAGACTAAAAATTTCATTTTTAAATAAGTTATTGCATAAACCATTAGTATAAAAACATTCATAATAATGTCTCATGTAAAAACCAAAGTGTTAATAATCAAAATATAATATCATGAAACCATATCAGAGTGTAATCCCAAGGATCTCGTGTGCGGAAAACACAGTGTGATGCGCTGCGACCAAGCCGGATCCTTTCCTTTAAAACAGAGTACCTGAAACCAAAACTGTAAACCGTAAGCACGAAGCTTAGTGAGTTCCCCCATCATACCACATACCATACAAATACATACTGCCAGGCATATCTGGGTGCCCGGCCTTCCCTGTCAAGTATATCTGGGTGCTCGACCTACCCTGTTGAGCATACCGGGGTGCTCAACCTACCCCACTGTCAGGCATACCGGGGTGCCCGACCTACCCCATGTCAGGCATATCTGGGTGCCCGACCTACCCTCCGATGTATCTCAACTGGTTACGGGGACCATTTCACCCCTACCACTAATACATAATCACATATCATAACATAAGCATAATGTCAGGCATACCGGGGTGCCCAACCTACCCCATTGGTCCTTTCGACCTGATACGGGGACTATTCCCCTACTACCTACTATCACATAACATCATATCATATCATGTTATCACATAAACATATCAGGTAGTAGCAAACCCAAATGATTATCACAAAGACAATCATCTATCATACAACTCCTACTAGTGGGCCGACATTGTGGCCTTAGGCCCACTTCTACTGGAAGGTAACTCACCTCACACTGCTGAAGTCCCGCAGACTCAATCCCACACTGTTGAAGTCCCGCAGACTCAACCCCAGCTGTTGGATGACAGATTCCCGATCTGTCAATATCAAAACATCACCCAATTAATAATTGGGTCCCAATATATAACCATAAGTACATTTGTCACATCCCAAAAATTCGAGCCAATTTAAAACTTTTTGATTCAGTTGAAACCATTCAATTATTACAATTTGTTTTCAAAATAGTTCATACATCAGAGTTCCCAGAAATCATAATCGTAAAACAAGAAAGTGTACGGTCACGCCTTTGCCTACCCGCGGCCATCCGCTGAACCTGAAACAATAAACTGAAACTGTAAGCCCGAAAGCTTAGTGAGTTACCCCCAAAATACCAACCTCATATAACCATAATCATATCATATCAACAACTACAGAACAACCATGCATCGCGAGTATACAGTGTGAGTGGTCCGCCCACACCGGGCCTTCAGTCCACCCCGTCCACTCTCTGAGTCTACAGTATGACTGGACCGCCCGCACCGGGCCTACAGTCTATCTGGATCCATCCCGAGCCTTCGGTATGACTGGACCGCCATACGGCCTACAGGCTATCTTGACCGCTCGTAGGGTATGTTGGCCTTCAGCACGAAGCAGGACCGCCTCAACCCAAACATCAAGCAAATAACCATGTGCACACATAACAGTCCATAGACAGACAAACCGATCTAGCAGATCATATAGTATAGCAACATTCTAACCAGGATACCGACCTAACCGGTCACTAACATAGCATCATCCTGTATACCAGGATACCGACCCTAACCAGGTCACTAAACATAATACCGTCCTAATTACCAGGACGCCAATCTAACAGATCGATAAACATATCAACAATCCTATAACCAGGATATCGACCTAACCGGTCACTAACATAGCATAACACCATCCTAACTACCAGGATGTAAATCAGTAAGCATATCATGCAATGATCCAAATACAAACCATAAAGGGCCGACATTGGTGCCTTAGACCCTGTTGATATAGTGAGGATAACTCACCTTGCAATGTCAGACTGAACCACGAAAACACGCTCCCGATAGGGCTTCAGCGGTGGCGAGGAGGAAAGCAGATGCGGCGGCTGTAGGTCTCTCATGGCGGCAGTCGAATGGAAAGGCAGATGTCGGCGGTTCTCGCCGTCATCGCTGATCGGAATTGGTATGGCAGCATCTCACGTCATCAGCGACAGGAGGATGACACCGGTGGTGGAGGCAAGAGGGTGGCAGCGGCGCCGGAAGTAATAGAAGGGGAGGTGGCGGCTGTTTTCTTGTGCTAGGGTTAGGGTTAGGCGGTGGAACCGCTATATACCAGTGCATCATAAAACTTAACCCCATAATGTCAAGATCAGCCCCTCCTTTCCCTTTTCTTCAAAAATTCAATCCACATTTTTCCTTTTACACCCTGCCCTCTAAAACCTTTACAAATTTAGTTCGAAATTTACAAAACAGCCCCTTGCTTGACAATTTCTTTTCAATTTAAGTCTAATGAGCAAACTTCATCCATGTTAACATTTTTAGTCCCTCCTCCTCTCATTCTTTTCGACTTAAGTTCCAATAATTACCATGGAGCCCCTGACTTCATAAATATTTATAAACTGAGTCCGAAAGTTACACTTTTGACCCCCGACTTCTAAAATTGTGATAATTAGCTCTTCGAGATCATCCTTTGATATATAATTATTTATTTTAGGGCTACCGTTCGTTCATTAATTAATTTAATTATTAAATAAATAAATGGGCGTTACATTAACTATTATAGAAACAAATAACATGTGTAAAAATTTTAGAATCACATATAATTATAAAAAGACAAACAAAAAATTGAATGTTGAAAAATAAATTGAATCACATATGATTATAATCTGTTATGAATGTTATATACTTAAAAAATTGAAAACTAATAAAAAGTCTATACATCAATTTTGAGCATTAAATCTGCTGGGACAAGTACGCCTGTTGTGTGGTTCTCTTTTACCACATAGTGAGCATTTTCTGGTCTTCGTTTGAGCTTTCATAACTGTTTTTCAACTTCACCAATAAGCCTCTTCTTTTGTGGTCCTTTATTATGTTAAACATCTGGAACAAAAATCTCAACTTCTTCTGGAATGGTAACATTATAAAGTTTCTCAAGGACATCAAAATTTGTAATCGACTTTTCACTTGAAGAATTACTCTTCACCTCATTCAACAAAAGTTTTGTTTTTTCAGCAAAACATGCTAACTTCTGCTTATTATCTCTCACAATGTCTAAAGCAGTTTCAACATTTAAAAATACTTCATTAACCAGTTTAGTAACTTCTTCATCCTCTTCATCAAAACGGTCTCTCGATAGCTGATAATTTGAAGATATTACATCCTTTGTCCATCGCCTAAGAATATATTGTTCTGGTATTTCATTAAAAATTTTATCCATCAATACTCTAAAAGCATGTCTACAAAGGATACCAAAACGATTAAAATATCCACAGGTGCAACTCACTTCTTTTTCATCATATTTTAGTTCCACCTGAAAAATGAAGAATCACATGTGATTACACATTAATAACAAATCATTATACAAATAAAAAATCACAGTCTTGTTTAATCACATGTTATCAACATGTTTTATATACACAAAATATATCAATCACATATGATTACACACATGAAAACAATATACACACTAGTGACATATCAACACTATCTTTATAATCACATGTGATTGATCACAACATTATCATATATAAAAATATATAAATGATATAAATAAATAAATAAAATACCTTATATGTTGCTTTTACTTCGTTCTTTTGGTTCTTGTGAATAACTTTAAAATTTTCCCATCCATCTCCCTCCCCTAAATCTTTAACCTCACAAAACCAACCTCTTTTATAAATCTCCTTTTGAACTTTAAAAAAAACCTTGCTACTATACACCTTTGCTACATGTTGT